AAATGGGGTTTAATGTCAATCCCAGATCTGAGTTTTGACTTCTGAGTCACGTGAAGACCATCAGTCATAATCATACAACAGTGGTGTCACGAGAGCTAGAACGAGAAAAAAAAAAATCATTCACTTAACGTCCCACAATGTTGCACCTTTAAAACAAACAAACAAACATAAAAAGTATATTAATGCATCAACAAAGTCCATGCTCAATAATCCAGGTATACAATCCAACAATTTTCAGTCAGGTCATCTGGACAGTTTATTTATTTATTTATTTGTTCTGCTGAAACGTTTCACCTTCCATCCAGAAGGCTTCATTAGTCAAGGAAACACACAACACAAAACTGATTCTTCCCCCAACAGCTTACTCCAAAGTGGAACAAACCAGTTATGTTGGTGCTAAGATGGTCTCTGTGGCATGCCCCCTCCTCTGGTTGCAGCCCTCTTCCTCGTCGACAGTCATGTCTAACTGGTTCAAAACCATCAAAGTCCATGCTCAATATATTAATACACATTTTGTTCTTCTGCAATGCATTACTGAATAAATTAGCTTTAATTTACCAGATTTACACTCATTCAACCTTTATTTAGACCGATTAATCCCATTGAGCCTCACGGACTCATTTACAAGAGAGACCTGATTTCTTAACAGAGTGATGACAACAGTGAATAACAATGACAACAATAGGTAGTCATAAAAGGGGCATACAAATTTAAATTTCTTTAAAAAAAATTTACAAATCTAAACAAAATAGCAACCAAAAGAACAATCAAAGGAAAAGTAGCAACAACAAAAAAAAAAAACCAGCTAGATTAAAAAAAAACCCAGCTAGATTCATAGATAAATACTGACAACGTCCTGTGGCATAAACTAACATCTGAACACATCCACGTTACAAAGGGTCATATTTCTACAATTATCTGCAGAATTAGAATTTATTTGATCAGAGAAGCGAAGGAGATAATTGACTAAATCTGGGACCCTAGTATAAACACAAGTTTGTTGTATCAATGTTGAGTTGGAGGAGTTCCCAATAAATAAGCTCATGTGTCAGGAAGGAGGAACCCGGATCACAAGAACAGGTCTTGCAGATGAGTACCAGTAATGAGTACCAGCCTGGAGGAGAAAATCTTTCACATGACTGCACAGAAATTCAAGAATGTCTTACAAGAAGTAGGCACTGGTAATTTTAGATGAGCGGTTTTCTTTGTTTGTTATTAACCTTTCTCAGCACCCTGACTTCCTCCCACAGTTTAAAACTATAACTGGTGATCCTTACCTGACCGTAGAGTGAGCGTGAGCATGGATGGTTGTTTGTTTCGTGTCTTCGTGTCAACCTGTGATGGACCTGTCTGAGTTGTGCCCTGCCTCTTGCCTAATAACAGGTGGGATTGGTTCAGCCTGACCCCCACAATAATAAATGCTTGTGTTTAACTTTATGTGTAAACATCTGATTACTATCAAACCTTGGCTCCCATGTGTCATGATGTACCTTCCTAAGTCAAAAATGAGGTTTAGTTTTGAAGAACTAAAACTGGCGTTCATTGAGGTTTAAAGAATTCAGCAAATAAGGTAAAGATTAATGGACAACGCTGTGTGCAGAACAGCTCTGAACCCGCTTCAGCCCTTTGCAGTAAAAGCATGGCAGCAGACCTTTGCATGGCCTCTTGTAACAGCTAATAGGTACATGATGTGGTGTTTAACCTGACAACTGCGTTGTCTGTACTGCATGAATACTAACAGTCTTGTTTGTGTCACAATTCTCTAACTGCACCCAGAAGCTGGAACAGAACCTGCCTGAGAAACTGTTGGCGGACCAGAAGAGGGTAGGTACTTACAGTAGCAGGGCAGCTTCACTAACAACTCCAACACCAAAGAGATACATGGAGGAGATTATACGTCTTAGTTGTTTTGGTTAAACCTTGACAATTTCAATGCACAGTCTCGTGATGTAAAACGCCGTGCTCAGAGAATGTGTTGCGAATGACTCCAAGCTACTACCACACCAAACTTTAGCGCAAGATCAGTAAAATAGACGGAGTTATATCCATTTATGTGTTGGCTAGTTTCAGTTAGGTGTGGCAGATATCTTGAATTAGATTGACTCCAAAAGCTAATCAGCTTTAGATGTACATCCATCTGAAAGTTTCATTAAAATTCATCAAGAGGTCTGTGAGATATTTTGCTAACAGTGTTGACTGCAGTTACAGTAATGGCAAAATGACTTCTAATCTCCACAGCTGAACGCTGTCAGAGTGGCAAGACAGCAGCTAACGTCAATGGAGCTAAGGCTGGATTGAACCAAATCATAGCTGGGGGGTGTGTGTGTGTGTATGTGTGGGGGGGGGGGGTAGATCTTTGCAATCCTTTTCAAAATTATAACGATTGTTTATTAAGAAAATAACATTTGAATTGCAAAAACACTATAAGCTGTAGTCTTATTGTTGAGGGTGATATGTTTTAATAAAAAAAAACTAGGTAGCAACAGAAGGTTACCCTCACTTTAGAAAGTGGGGGTGCAGCTGCTCCACCTGCTCCATTAGGCCAATGTTGGGGTCAGTATCACCACACCAAATTTTAGATCAGTACAGTAGTCCCTCGTTTATCGTGGGGGATCCGTACTATATATATATATATATATATATATATATATATAAAGGTGTTAAACTCTTCCCACACTCTTGCAATATTCTAAACAATGTTTCTAAACTCTAAACGCTCTAAAAGAGCTCAGAATGTCGTGATTTCAGCTCCCTTCCTCCTCTGCTCTTTGCCACCTGCGAAGGCTCTTGGCCACGCCCACTTCTTTGCTCTGCGTGGTGAACAGCTGATCAGCTGTTAATCTGCAGCAGGAAGTTTATCCTGCAGTATGGGCTGCACAAAGCTGCAGGAGGAAGCTTTTTCTTTAGCTCTGGGCTGCACAAATGTGCAGAAGGTGCTAAATAATTTAAAATAGTTTATTTTAAATTTAAAAAATCCATGCCGATTGTGCGGCTCATCCATCAATCTGCCAATTGTGTCATGTCAAATCTTATTTTGAAAAACCGCAATGGAACAAGTCCGCGATAAACGAACCGCCAAGTATCGAGGGACTACTGTATCTGTAAAAATGACAGTTATAGACATTATATTACCAATCAGCCTAGCATGCATGTTTTTGGTCTGTGGGAGGAAACCAAAGTACCTGGAGAAAACCCACGCACGCACGCACGGAGAGAACATGCAAACTCCACACAGAAAGGCCCCCGGCCAGGATTTGATCTGACGACCTTCTCACTATGATGCAACATCAACTGAGCTCTCCGTGCCGCCCTCACTAAATATCCTGTTCAGAATAAAATGCATTATCAGCAGGTTTGAGTTAAGGGCAAGAGTTAAATCAGACAACTAAAGTGCGTACTCCCTATCCCACCCACTGCTTCCATCTGTGACATCGTGGAGGAGCAAAGATGGTATCCGAAGAGGGCAACAGCTCACAGCCGACAAAGCAACTATTTAACAGCAAGCCCAACTGGATCTGTGTCACCACATGTTATGCAGTCGACACTTAAAAAAACGTTCACTTCATACCCAGTGATGCTTTGAAAGATGAACTCCATCTCTACTTATATTGACCAACCATCTTCTCAATAGGTCAAGTTTGTGTAATGGACCTAAAAATAGTCTAATATACTTATTATTTTACACTGTGTAAATATTAAATAAATCAAGGCAATACCAGATTGTACTGTTTAATAATTTGTGTTAAATCGTAGCATGACTTAGCATAGTTCAACACTGTATAACAATATTTCATTCAACCTTTAGTTATACTTAGTCTCATCGAGCCTCAGGGACTCATTTACAAGCGAGACCTATTTTAACAAAGAGTGATGACAACAGTGGACAATCATAAAAGAAAGCACTGAAACAAATTTATGGAAGAAAATTATATTAAAAAAACAAAACAAAAACAGCTACATTATAAAGCGATGTAAAATACTAAAAAGCAGGAATGTGTCTGCATTGGTTTGTGCCATGAACTTAGCAGATGTTTAAATATCGAGATATATATTTTATATCGCAATTTATCTTAAAAATATCAAGATATTAATTTTAATTAAGTCCAGATGCTTGCCCTCTGTGGTTATGGCTCCCGTTCTTCCAGTGATTCATTACGTCATGGGACCAGTATGCTCTTTAGTTGTCTCATTTAACTCTGATTAAGGAGTAATTCTTAATTTGTTGCAACTTTGTTTTGTTTAACCGTAAATTGTCTCCTTAACTGTGAGATTTTGGTCTTGAGGACAGCAGAAGAGGTCATTTTTCAACAGGAGCGGGCAAACACTGTTATGCACGATGCATGCTGCAGATTAATTAATCTCCTGCCAATAAAAGATGAGAACCGTGTTCTTTACACCACCTACATAAAGTAGCCGTGACCCGTGGAGCATAACTATGATAGTGGACCTTATTTCAAGGCCTGCGCACTTCTGACAATAATTTGCACATAATCACACGCAAACACAAAATCATGGTTCCCTTTCATTTCTTTCACTTTATTCCATGGGTGGTCTTGTCAGGTAGCTATGGGCTGTGGTTGCCATACCAACAGCAAAGTCGTGCCACTGACTGGATGAGTCACAGGGTAGGAGGGCTGCCCCCCAGCTCTGCCTGAGTAAAAACCAAGACCTCACGATATCACTAAATAGGGTCTTTGTTGTTTAAATAAACATAACTATTTTATGGGTGGCAGATGATGAATCTGCTGTAACACAAGACTATTTTTGCAAAGTTTTAGACACTTTTAAATATTTACAATGAAAAGTTAATATATCGTTGCTCAAGAAAAATGTTTACAAGGAATGATTGCGGTCTTAGGCAGATGGGAATTTTCTAATGTTAGTAAAATTCTGTTAAAAGATTTAAAATGTAGAATAAAGGGTTGAGGTTACATAATTTCTCTCTCTCTGTTGCTGACGTCATATTGTTTCATCCTTCTCTTTTTCTTTTCCATGATTAGGGCGAGGCGCTGAGACAAATTCTGGTGAGCCGTTACTATGGCAACTTCCACCGGAGTGGTGGGCGGCGGGAGAGTCTGACGTCATTTGGCAATGGCCCCCTCAGTCCTGTAGGATCTGGCAGGAACCAATCAGGTGAGAGTCCGTGGCTTATGTTGCTCCTTTTTAACAGAAGCTTATTGAAAATTATTTTCACTGGAAGATGCAGTTTCTGACCTACTCAGACCAGCCTGTCTGGCAACCATTCAATGTCACCTAAATCCCCCCTTTTCTCCTCTCTGATGCCCAATTTAACTTAAGCAAACTGTCTTCACCATGTTTACATGCCCAAAGGCATTGGGTTGCTGCCATGTGATTGGCTGATATGCTATTTGTGTTACCAAGCAGTTGAACAAGTGTACCTAATAAAGTAACTGGTGAGTGAATCTGTCTGGCCCTGAGTTGGTTATCAGCTCCAGAGTTGTGCTACAAGGTGCCCTTTTAGCATACAGAGTGCTACGTTCTTATCGTTACATGATAATAGGGTGAATGTGTTACTAGCTGCCGTCACAACACTGGAGCAGCATACGCTGTTTAGTTTATTTATTTAGTTTATGTCTTGTATTTACGTTGTTACTGGAAATTTGTTTAAACACGTCTATTAAAGCAACAGTTCAGGTGTTTTGAAGTAAGGTTATGAACAATAAATATCTTACCTGTTGCAGATAGTTCTTTGAATGACCTCAGTTGATTCTGTCAATTTAGCTGATAGTTTGAACGAGACCACAACCAGAGTAGATGTGTGTCATATTACCTAAGTTTCATAAAGCTTCATGCGTACGCTGTTTTATGTTTTAATTTTATATTTTATGTTATGGTTTAACTTTTTACACTGCAACATTACACAGTAATTCCAGCAAATATATTATGGTATCCGTGCTGGAAGTGCCACAGGCTGCATCAGACGGGCTACAGCTAGTTGCTGCTGCCATCATTGGCACCTGCGTATAAACATACAATTATATGTAAAGGACTGTAAAATTTGTGCAAACTGACATGAATGTAAAGATTTTTTTAAATGATTGTCACATGAACCACTATGAAATGATTAGGACCGAGTTATTTTGAGATGGCAGCAACCCTCTTTGGTCTTGGCTCCACTTGGATTAGCCATTAGCTCTCAAGTCTGGTCAAATTTAAGTTCCCTTCTCCAAACCGAGAAAATCGTACAAAAAAAACTATCTACAGCAGTTAAAATTTTTATTGTTTAATATTAAAAAAATATTTGACCAAACTCTAGTTCAAAAGATTTGAATTGGCATCCAACAAAGTTAAGTCAGGTCCTCTGGATGATTTCTTTTGATGAGACATTTCATCCTTCACCCAAAGGACTTCATCAGTCTGAGGAGCCACAACAAACTCAGTCCCACAAGCAGCACACTCACATAGTGGGCCAACCAGTTTGATGGTGATAAGATGGTTTCTAGAGACCGCCCTCTTCCCTGGAGTGGGGGAAGCCTGTCATGGCTGCCTCAGAGGAGTCGACGGGGGAGTGGGTGCACTCCAGAAACCATCTTATCACCATCAAACTGATTGGCCCACTATGTGAGTGTGCTGCTTGTGGGACTGAGTTTGTTGTGGCTCCTCAGACTGATGAAGTCCTTTGGGTGAAAAACGAAACGTTTCAACACAAAGAAACCATCCAGATGACCTGACTGAACTTTGTTGGATTTTTTTACCTGGATTATTGAGCAAGAACTTTGATGATTTGAACTGGCACTTTAGCATAATTCATTTTAAAGGCTGTTAAGTCTGTGAGGACACACTTACTTTGTGGCTGTAGCCAGTGTTGAGTTTGTTCTTTTTTTTTAATTGGAGCTGGTGTGATAAAAAGTCTTAGCAATAAATATGACTTCAACACAATGATCACTCCCAGTTCACTAAATACTCCACAATGCTGGCACACATTCAAAACATAAGAAGTCCATCCATCAATCCATCCATCCATCCATCCATCCATCCATCCATCATCTTTATTTGCTTCTTCCTTTCTGGGTTGCGGGGATCACTGGTGTCCATGTCCAGCAGGTACTGCATGAGAGGTGGTATACATGGTGGACAGGTTGCACGCACCATCACATGGACGCATGGAGACAAACATTCACTCTCTCACTCACAACTATTTTAGAGATGACACTTACTCTAACATGCATGTTTTTGGTCCTTGGGAAGAAAGCAGAGTAACCAGAGAAAACCAACGCATGCACGGACAGAACATGCAAACTCCACCCAGAAAGGCCCCCTGCCGGGATTTCATCCAGCAACCTTCTTACAGAGAGGCAGCCGCTCAACCAACCGTGCCAGCATGCTTCCAGGATGTCTACCCACCTCCTATTTATGATAAACTTATTAGGAGACAAACTGCTCTTTCCTGAGAAAACAGCTTTTGCACCTGTTGAAGAAACAAGGTCCATTAAAGGAATTCAATATGTTGTCTGACGTCGGGGGATGTGCAGGAATTTGTGCACAATGACGTTAACACGTGTAGCTTTGACTACAAAGAATATGATGAAGGTTGTTTTTATTTTTTCTTTGAATATTGCTATTAATGCAATTCATATCATAAAAGTGTACATCAAAAATAAAACACTATATTTTGCATTACTTGTGTTATTTGTCTTGGATGTCAGAACTGTCAGATATTCAGCATTTTAGTTTATACACATTGTGTACATGTGTCTACAGTGTAAATGCAGTGATACTTAATTAATTATAAACCTTTAATCTCACGTTTTGCATACTGGAATCTCCCTGCCCTGATTTGTCCCATTGCCTTGTCTCTTCCATGCAGCTTTAGGGGGTTCAGGTGGTCTGAGTCGAGGGGAAATGACCCTTGCAGAGGTGCAGTGCCATCTGGATAAAGAAGGAGCTTCTGATCTGGTGATCGACCTAATCATGAACACAACTAGTGACCGTGTCTTCCAAGAAAGCATCCTGTTAGCTATAGCACTGCTGGAAGGAGGAAACACAACCATACAGGTCAGTTATAAACAAATGTTTCTCCCAAACACATGAACTCACAACTAGAAAAAAACAGTTGTTTACAGCTTAACGAGCTCACAGCGAATAACGTCTGTAGATAATCTCTTAAAATGACTGGAGAGTAGATCAAATAAAAGGAGAATGTGCAGTATGCAGGTCAGTGTGCCGTTGTGGCTGCACATATATATCTTCCTCCTCACATCTTCATTTATATCAAAAGGCTGAACAACTAAACCAGCTAGCTTCTAGATTAGCGTAACAAAACATTTTAGTCTACAAGATCATTTAATTTTTCTCCAGTTTAATCTGAGTCTAAAACTTATCTCTGTCTTTATTGCCTCTCTTTGTCTGTTGCTCCATTAGTTGATCTTTCAGTTGCTCTGTCCAGTTTGTCTGTCTGCCTACGTGTTGTTGAGTAAGCAAGGGGCTTGCATAATCAGATTAGAGTGAGGAAGCCACTGAGGCAGAGATAATGCGCCGGCTTCCCACGACTGCTGCAGAGCTGCGTCACGGGATCAATCTGCGTTACATAAGCCTGCGTGAATGAACAATGAGGAATGTCTCTGCCTTCAAAACATTCCAGCCTTGCTACTTTTCTGCCACCTAAACTGGGTCATGCTGGGCCTCCGGACTGAGGCAGCGAGTAAACCAAGGATAGTGGGTCGAGGAAACGGAGAGAGGGGATTAAGAGGGGAAAACTGGAACTCCCCTAAACTTTGCCTTCTTGTTTGTCTGCGAAAAAAAATGACGATTTCTCTGCAGGAAAAGTCGTCCCGCAGAGCTAGAAATGTACCCCGATGCGCAAATATTTGTTCTTCCTTTAGCTACTGCATATTTTCCTGAAAATTATCAACAGCTTGAATGAATGTGAAGCTTGCTGGAAATGCCAGTTTGCCACAGAGTTTGTTTTGCTTCACTATCTTTGTTTGACGAGCCAAACTAAACACCTGTCGGGTGTCGGACATCTCTTCCCCAAGGAAGAGTTAACTCTTTACCCCTGAACTACATAATACACAAAATACCGTAACTACAATCCATAACCCATCTGAATGCTCAGTCTGTTCTTCAGACAAGCATGCACACAGACTTATTTTATGCTGTCATGTAAAGATGTCCAACATGTAGAGCTGTAACAGTCTTACTGACTAAAATACATTCATTTTGCAGATTTGGCACAAGTGAGAAACATATTCATGACTAGAAATTAGGATTTAAGGTTTTAATTCAGCAGCATTAAGAAAACATAGCTCTACCTACTCTTACCTCAAATGGTTTGTAAAACGCTTAAACATCAAGTTAAAAGTCTCAAAACTAGTTTGATTAATTAATAACTGAGAATAAGAGCATGCTGGAACAAAAGTCTTAAGGCGTTTTCACGAAATAATTCAACACAGGAACTGAGATGTCTTCTGGTCGTCTTGATGCAATTTCTAAATGGAATGAGGCAACATGTGGGTGGGGGGAGTCAAACCACTGCTGTTGTGCCTTTAAGCCACCAAGCTAATTACAGCTGTAATAGTTGACATGTGAAAAGGTAAGCTGGCTTTGCTGTTCAAAGATGTGATGCAGTGATGACACGGTCTCTGCCACCAACAGGGTTTAAAATCTATACTTTTTTCCTTCTTTTGGCTGCTCCCTCCTCAGGGTAGTGAACTAACTCACTCGAAGACTTGGCAATTGTTTTTACGCCGGATGCCCTTCCTGACACAACCACAGACCACCGAGGTACCACAGCCCTCTGTGTGGAGCAGAGAGCTGCCATCTAGGGTACCTGGGGGAGCAGATGATGGTGGGTAAGGGCCTTGCTCAAGGGCCCAGAGTGGGGCAGTGAGGGTGGAGGCAGGTGTGGATGCTTCACCATTCCCACCCACATTTTTGCTTATGTTGTCGATTCGGGGAATTGAACGGGCGATCTTCTGATCACAGGCTCACCTTCTCTAACCTCTGCACCACCACCCCTCTTACAGGACTTAAAAGACTGAAATACAAAAACCAGATTAATCGCATAGAAGATCAGCAATGGCGCACAGCAACGCTGCAGTTCCATCCATCCATCCATCCATCCATTATCTTCCGCTTGTTCTGAAGTTGGGTTGCAGGGGCAGCAGCTTGAGCAGGGAGGTCCAGACATCTGTTTCCGCAGCCACCTCTTGCAGCTCTTCTGGGGAGAGCCCAAGGTGTTCCCAGGCCAACCGAGAGACATAGTCTCTCCAGCATGTCCTCGGTCTTCCCCGGGGTCTCCTCCCAGTTGGACATGCATGAAGCACCTCCCTAGGGAGGCGCCCAGGGAGCATCTTTACCAGATGCCTGAACCACCTCAACTGGCTCCTCTTGACGTGGAGGAGCAACGGTTTTACTCTGAGTCTCTCCCAGATAACTGAACTTCTCACCCTATCTGTAAGGGAGAGTCCAGCTACCCTGCAGAGGAAACTCATTTTGACCGTCTGTATCCATGATCTCATTCTTTCAGTCACTACCCAGAGTTTGTGAGGGTAGGAACGTAGACCGACCAGTAAACAGAGAATTTCGCCTTACAGCTCAGCTCGCTCTTCACCACAACAGACTGGCACAAAGTCCACAATACTGCAGACGCTGCACCAACCTGTCAGTCAGTCTCACGCTTCATTCTTCCCTCACCCATGAGCAAACGTTGCAGTTAGTTTAAAAAATTGCTTAACCAAAAGGAAACGCTCTAAACTAAATTAACTTAATAAAATCTGAAAATGATGCGAGGCAGACGTCTGTCATGTGTTAGTGCTCCAGTTCAACACAGCTGAGTTCCACTCTACGTCTTGTTTGGTTCAGTGACGCTCGCTTCATTTTTAAAAGCTCACGTATATACTGGACATGACTGGCACAATTAGTGATTCATGAATAATCAGAAGCAACATTAAGGGATAGTTTTGGCTTATGGTTAGGGAAACAAGTGCCATTTTTGTATCTTTTTTTTTCCAGGCCTATAAAATGCTCCTCTGCCCTTTTTCATTTAGTTTTACTTTGTTTCTGTTTTCTTAACCAAACAACTGCACTTTTTGACCATTTTTTGAAGCTGTTTTATGAAAGTGCCTTTAAAGATGGCCGATTTGTTCAGATGTTTAGGACTATTGTTGTTATTTCAATATCTTTTATTACATTCTATAATAAGGAACTTATTTAAACCGGATGCAACTCCAGTAGGAATGATTGCACTGGAGGAACACTCAATCTTTAGTCTTTGTCACTGACAGAGTTTGACTTGTGCCCTAAAAAGACTTAGGATGCCAGTTTATAAATAAAGTCTGCAAGACTGTTCACTTCTTGTGATATCTTATTTTGAAAGTGATTAAGTAACTTTTTAGGGGAGAATTTTATCTTGTTTTGACTTTTGACCTTGTGTTTGTGTATTCTGAGTGATAATGCTGCGACTTTAAGTCTAAAACAATTTTTTTAAGGGACAAAGCATACTTTTTTTTTTTTTTACACACGTGCACAAATTACTACCAAAACCATAATTTCCAGTTAAAACCCTGACGTGCAAAACCAATATCTGCAAAAACAGGTACTTTATTTGAGACTAGAATGAATTAAGTTTAAAGAAAGCCATCCAGTAACCAATAAAATCTGTTTACTACATTATTGACACATTTTTTCTGGCGACGTAGTTGTATTGATGCAGTGCACGTTTTATCCTCATCTGCTGCTGTCCTCGTTTCTTGATCTCCGTCTCGAGTCGGCTTCCCTGCAACAGCCTCACACAACGGTCAATTGTGACACCGTGGCTTGTGACGTTTCACTTGTCAGCCATCTGTCAAACCGCAGGACACGCCGCTGGTTAACTCCCTGAAATCTTGGCTTGCAGGTGTGTTTAAGTGTCATGAATTAAAAACGAAAGGCTCTATTGGCTTCAACCAAGTTGAGAAGACTGATGGATGTGGCTGAGAGGGGAAAATGTCTTGGAGAGCCAGGGAAGCTGAGCAGCAGTTGCATTTGGTTTGCATGTGTTGCTGCCTGACGTGAGAGGGAGGGGGAAAAAAGAGAGCAAGTATAAATAGCTGTTGCATAACATCCCTTTGTTGATGCCAAGCGCCTGAGCGGAAGGAGAGAAGGGAAAGCGCTCTGACCTTGTTTTTCAGTGCAGCCCGCCCCCACCGCTCCATCTCATCCCTCTCAGGGTTCGTCTCCATAGTTACAGACAGGCTCTGTGTTTACCCAACACCACAGGGGGCCCTGGGATGTTTGTCCATTCTTCCAGTCTTCCTCTGCTACTATCACTCCATTCTCTGCTTTGACTGCCATGTGGCACATCTCCTTGAACGTCATCTCTGCGCTTTAGTCCTCGCTTCCTTTTCAGCGCTGTGTTGAAACAGCGGTACCGATTTTATAAATGAACGCCTTACAAGACAGGCAGTGAAACTACGTGGTTGGACATGAAAGTTTAGGTTTTCACTTCTGGTTCATCGCCAAAAACATTTCTGAAGAAATTAGAAAACGGAAGTTTAGTCACTGTGGGGCTTTTTATTTTTTCTTCACCGTGGTGTTCTGTATTCCTCTGCAGGCTCCGTCTTTATTTTGATGATGCACTTGACTCACTAAAAAGTGCAGTTCGTCGAAACCTGCTTTTAATAAAGACACTACTCTATTTGGCTGCAGGGCTGCTGGAGAATATTTCACTCGTCCAAAATATCTCTTCTTCTTACATGTCCGCTACGTCGGCCCGCTGTGAACTTGGTTCTACCACGGTGAAATCTGACGCCTCTCGTAAAGATAAAGTGCCCCTGCTGACGTGGTTCTGATCCTTCCAAGGCTCAACACAAGTCCAGCTGCACACTCGGACTGATTGCAGCATCTCTAACATGACATATCCTTGAAATGAGCAGTTCAGTGTTAATAAAACAAAAGCTTTGGTTACATAAGAATAAAGCAGGCAGTGACGAAGTTGAGGAGACGATTACTGTTTTGTGTAGCGTGTGCGATATGTGGGTGTGACCTCTCAAAAATTGGCATGTGCTGATTCCAGAGACAGCTGACCCTTTTTTTTTCTTTGACTGTATGAGTCGGTAGGCGTTTTGGCGTGCGTGCGCTCCACTCTGTGTGCGCTGTTCAAGTGCCTGTGTGTCTGTGCCAGTTATGTAATGGTTAAGGGTGAGAGCTCTTGTGTTTCCTCTGCTCTGATCTGTGTGTGCTGTCCTGGCCCCTGCACCTCACCTCCCACCCTCCCTGCAGGCTCAGGCTTTAACAGGTCAATAGAAGGCAGAGCGATATGAGCTGCCATGACAATTACACCATTCCCTCTCCCCACCCTTCTTTCCACATGCATGCTATGACTTGTAAACTCAGACTGGAGTGTCAGCGGCGCAGCTGATCCCATTGACACTCTCCACTCTATCACCATGTTATTTGTTGCTCGAGGGCCTTGCTGGGCAGTCTCCCTCTCTCCTTGCTGCGTTTCTCCTTGTCCCTTGGTTTGGCAGTGTGCGTACGTGCAGGAGGCCTGCGGCTCAGTGGTGGAAAGTTGGGGTGGGGCAGACAAAAGGCTATGAAACAGCTTTGAAGAACAAGCTCTGAGTTTTGACTTTGCTACATTGGACAGAAAAACGCAACAGCTCTTCATTATAAAGTTTAAGCTAACCTAGACTCTTATTTTGTTTTTAAATTGAAAAATATGTTTAACATTAAATTTAAATTCATGCAAACTGCTGAGTGCAAAAACATTTAGACAAGACAGAGGTAAAAACTAGGCTTGTGTCGTCTTTGTGACCGTCATTTGTTGTTTCTTCTGTAGCTTTAAATGTAACCTGGAAAGATAGAAGATTATGTAACAAACTTTTGAAACTTACCTATATACTGCCTGATAACATTCCTTCCCTCCCTATCTTTTGCCCTCCTTTCCACTTGCTCAATCATGCTATTTCTTTTTACCCCCCACCCCCCTTTCGTGATATGTTTTTGTTGTTGTTTTTTGTTTGTTTGCTTGCAGCCTTCATTCTGCACCATCTCTCTCCCTATCTGAGTAAGTAGGCCAGGCTTCTCCTTCTTATATCATTTTTTACTCTGTTACTGTGACAAAGCTTTGCCTGGTAAAAGCCTTTCCATACGCTGCAGCAGTAACAGCTCTTACATAATCAAAACAGCAGCCTTGTAGGCAGCCATGGCATATACATTGTCCCTGGTATAAGAGCTCTAATTCTTCGTGACCCCAATCTGCAGCCATATCTGCATCGTTAAACTCTCATATCTCTGACTTCATTAGTTGCGATGATATAATTTGTGAAAATCCTGATAAGGCTAATTTTTGTCATATCAAGTGATACATGTTTTCTCTGTTAGATGAGACCATGAAAACTTGTTGTAACTTATTTTAGGAATAAATCTAAAATTTTCTGTTAATTCAAAATGTTATAAAAAAAAAAAATCTTAATATGACTTCATATCTTTTCCAGTTGAGGTGGACTGGTTGATGAGTTGGTTGATTATTAAGGCCAATTCTTGCTATCTTTTAAATAACCACTACAGCTAATTATTTTTAAAGATAGAGATCTGTTGGCAGCACAGTACTTTTACGATCAACATCAGTTATAACATTAGGCAACCTTCTCTTATTGTTTGGGAATTGAAGTCAGGTGCTGGCTGTGTTGTATTTGTAGGATCAAAGTCTGTGCAGAAATGACGTGGACCTTTACGTCATGTATCCTCCTCGCACACAATTGTGGTGTTACATGACCTTTATTTTAAACTGAAATAACTAATTGCAGCTAAATGTACTTGCTCCCCTCAGGCAGAAGGTTGTGGAGCATTAAGTGTAGAACCACTAGACTGAGGAACAGCTTCTACCCTGAGGCTGTTAGACTCATGAATCTCTGACCCAAATAATCACCGTAAGGAAAAAAAACGTTCACCTGAAGATCCCAGACCCAAAACTCGCTGGAGAGACTATGTATCTTCTTTGGCCTGGGACCACCACAACTTGACCATGGATATGCAGGAGGAAATGGCATGGATTAATACAAACCAACACAATGTTTATAAACCGGTCATCAGCTGTACTGATTTCAGAAATCTGCTTCCACTTCAGCCATTTGAAAATTCAAGGTTACCGTCTATTTGAACATAAAACTTTGTAAGACGCTGGGATAGTGAGTGCAATAAGTGAGCCATTTAATATGCTAATATGAGGAACGTACTTTTTATTTTAATCTCGGTGATTATTTTGTGCAGATGTTATTGCTGGCTCATTATTTTTCTTTTTTTAAATTTTGGCTGGTTTTGTACTATGAACATGAATTAAACTGTAATCTCTAACTTTCTGGGATGTGCAAAACTGTGTTCTTTAGATATTTTTTATAAATAAATTAAAAAAAGTTTCTTGGGTACAATCAACCATTGTGAATCACAGTGATCTAAAAATGTCAAACATTGTTTAAAAAATAATTTAAAAAAAAAACAATTGTTTATTAAAGAATGACATTAACTTATTAAGATGTGGTGGATTCCAACATTAGTAAAATAAAAAATATAGCTGTTTTGCTTTACTTCACTTCTACAGGTTGGATACATTTGTTACAATAAAGCAAGAAATTTATTATTCCCTACTGAGATTTCTAAGTAGTTTTCACTGGTTCCTATTTTCAATCAATAACAGTTGTTTTTGTTTTTTGTTGTTTTTTTTGCTTATGTGAAATGACACATCGTTGCTTCCTTTCCTTTAACTGATAAGATTTGATGAACTAAATGGTTTGTGAGAGATTTTTACTCTAGAGAACATCGTAGCTAAAAACACTGACATTGCTCTCACCCGGTAATACCATCAGTGTTTCTAATGTAATTTTGTTTTCTTTTTAACATGTTCAGCGTTCATTCTTTTTACGTTTGACTGACGACAAGAACTCAGAAAAGTTCTTCCGGGTCTTTTACGACCGAATGAAGTTGGCTCAACAGGAAATCAAAGCCACTGTAACAGTCAACACAAGCGACCTGGGAAACAGGAAAAAGGATGATGACAGCCTGGATAAAGATGTCCCTGTTCACAAGAAAGGTAAGACATTACCTTTCACAGTAAATCATCAATATAGATTTGTTTCAAACGTTTAAACAGGATTTACGAATTGGTGTTTATGTAAGTTGTGATGATTTTGTTTTCCATCATCCATGTAGTAAAAGACTCAACAATGACCATGACCGAAGATGTGAAAGAACAACTGATAGAAGCCTCGACTGCCACAAAGAAGGCCTTCAACTCTTATAGGCAAGAAGCTGACCCAGAGGACCACTTTCCCTCAGCGGATGGCCAGCCCAGCTCCGGGGACAAGAACCAGGATGAAGGAGAGATGAGTTTTGTGATAGTTATCATGCAGCCTATTCTTCGCTTCCTCCAACTACTGTGTGAGAATCACAATCGTGACCTGCAGGTGAGAGCGACTTAATTCTCTCTGATGGGTATTGTTGAATTTTGGATACTTCTCAACAGTAAGCTTTAAACAAAGTCAAATACAGCCATGCATGTTTATTATCAGTGCCAAATTCCTAACTTTTTCATGACTTCTTTAGGAATATAAACATTGCATCAATACACGTCACTTTTTTGGTCTCAAAATACACTTTTATAGTCTCAACCTTCTTTACAGTATAGCAGGTTACACACACAAAAAGGTTAACCTTAAGGTTGACTATTCTTACATTTTATACACTTGTTTGACAGTAAGTTGTCTTGTTCATGTTTTACAGAAGCATCTGTTTTATACTTTGCATCTAAAGTTATCTGTGCATCCTGTGGATCATTAACTCTGCTGGATTGTACAGTGTACTGTATCCATTGCAGTTCGTGTGGACACCATTCTTACTCTGCGATCTAACCAGCATTCATATTTTTGCGTTTCCTAGAACTTTCTTCGTTGTCAGAACAAAAAGAACAACTACAACCTAGTGTGTGAGACCCTCCAGTTCTTAGACTGCATCTGTGGCAGCACCACAGGGGGCCTCGGCCTGCTGGGACTGTACATCAATGAGAAGAATGTTGCCCTCATTAACCAAACTCTGGAGAGTCTCACAGAGTACTGTCAAGGTCCTTGCCATGAAAACCAGGTACAGAAGACACACAAAAAAGAAAAATTTCACACTGTTCAACTAAGAGATCTTTTATGTTGTTCCTTATTTCTTTCAGAATTGCATAGCCACTCATGAGTCCAATGGTATTGATATCATTATTGCTCTAATTCTTAATGACATCAATCCACTTGGGAAGAAACGAATGGATCTCGTGTTGGAGCTCAAGGTGAGGTTTGGAGCTCTGAGTTTGAATCTTACTGGTAATTATTTGAAGTATTACTAACAGACCTCAAGTATTTGTATTTGAGCTAGCGTTTGTACCTGCATTATAAGACAAATAGCTCATTTTCCAAAGAGACGCCAGTGTTTCTTTTATTTTACTTTGGCTTCTTTTCTTATGTCTCTGCTTTTAATTTGCCCTCCCAGAATAATGCGTCTAAGCTGCTGCTTGCCATCATGGAGAGCCGACATGACAGTGAGAATGCTGAGAGGATCCTGTACAACATGAAGCCAAAAGAGCTGGTGCGAGATGGTGCATTCAAACCCTTTAATGAAATGCTTCATTCTACCCAGTTAAAGTTTGGGTTGTAATATAGCTGATGCTTTAAAACTATGAAAGCTATTTTGGGTTTATGTGTCTGTCTTTGCAGGTGGAGGTAATAAAAAAGGCCTATCTTCAGGGTGAGGTAGAGTTTGAGGACACAAATGAGGACGAGGACAACAGAGAAGAGGAGGAACACGATCCTGCTTCACCCAGAAATGTTGGACACAACATCTACATTTTAGCTCACCAGGTTTGAGGTTTATGTTCACAACATTGTCATGTTTTTCAATTTTTTGGGGGCTCCTTGATATCAGCTGTTTTTTGTGACATGAATGCACCCGCTGGCGTTGTGTCCTTTGCACAGTTGGCACGCCATAATAAAGAACTGTCCATGATGTTGAAGCCAGGAGGGACCAGCGGAGAGGGAGACGAGGCCTTGGAGTTTTATGCCAAGCACACTGCTCAGATAGAGGTCATAACACAAAAACATGGCGCCTGAGTAATAAACCAAATAAAAGCTTTGCGTTTCCTGGATGTTTGAATGAAAGTTGTTGTAACATGTAGCCATTTAAATGACTCTGAGGTGGCACATGTGGGTTTTTTCACGTAGATTGTACGTTTGGATCGCACCATGGAGGAAATTGTGTTTCCTGTACCTAACATCTGTGAGTTCCTGACCTCAGAGTCGAAGCTGCGGATCTACTATACCACCGAAAGAGACGAGCAGGGCAGCAAGATCAATGACTTCTTCATGCGGGCAGAGGACCTCTTCAATGAGATGAACTGGCAGAAGAAGCTCAGAGGTAGGGTTAAGACTTCACGTTAGTACATTTAGATGCAACAGGCATGCAACCTTTCTGTTGCTCATTTTGAATGTTTTTCGTTTGAGTAAATTCATTGAACCTTTATTTATACAGATTAGTCTCGTTGAGTCACAAGGACTCTTTTTCAAGAGAGCCCTGTTTAAATACAATAGACAACCTAGAGGGAGGCTAGTGCAACCAAGATGTTAATCACAGATCACACACCCAAGCACGGGTCATGAAGCAAACGACGTTAGGTTGGCAGAAAAGTTTATTTCGGAACTAAACTCATTGCTATCTTCCTCCTGACCACTAGGTGTCACTACTGAGACAATCTCACCGCAACCGTGAGCCTAAATAAGTCATACAGGATGTATAATCCATCCGTCCATCCATCCATTATTTTTACCCACTTCTTCTTTTTCGGGTCGCGAGGGTCACTGGTGCCCATGTCCAGCCATCACTGTGCGAGAGGTGGGAAACACCCTGGACAGGCCGCAAGTCCATCACCTGGACACCTAGAAACAAACGAGACAAACAACTCACACCTAGGGACAATTTAGAGTTACTAATCAGCCTAACATGCATGTTTTTGGTATGGGGGAGGAAAACGGAGTACCTGGAGAAAACCCATGCATGCACAGAGAGAACATGTAAACTCCACCCAGGAAGTCCCCCGGCTGGGATTTGAACCGGGGCGACCTGCTCGCTGAGAGGTGGCAGCTCTACCGACTGAGCCACCGTGCTGCCCGGATGTATAATCTTTATACACAAAACATGTTGATATAAGTTTAGCTTGGAAGCAGTTTTTTAAGTTTTTGTAGCGTTTTCAATAACCGCACCGTCTTAGGTTTTTTTTAAGTCCTGCATGTGCCCTTGAAACCTCCCAAAAATAAAATAATAACAACAAAAAAACACATTTAAAAAATGGATTTCTGGTCTGTTGAATCCGTTTTGCTTCCTATCTCAACTAAAATACAACAACAAGAGTTTGGAGTACAAAGCTTTTTCAGCTGCATAAAAGAAGCTCTGTTGTGTAACTTTGATTCACATGTAAACTTGCGCCCCTCACAACAGAATGTCATTAGTGTTTTTTTCACCTGTCTCACAAAATAGATGCTTTTGTCACCTGCATGAAGGTGTGAAAATGAAGAAACACGACTGGGTATCAAGCTGAATGCTGCGTTATATTTTTAAAAAGCTGGAATCTGAGACCTCTGTTTAAATTTGGTTTCTCTCATTTGATGTAAATGGCTTCCTTTACCCCCTCCCAAACCATCTACCTTCTCTGTCCAAAATATGATCTATTTGGTTTTCAAAAGTGTATCTTATCCTCAAACAGGTGTAGGTGCACAGCTGAGACTTGTTCTAAAGAGCTGACTCCTTTGTGTTGAGCCATTCCTCTGTGGAGAGACGGTTAGTTTGTGTATTATGGGAAGTCCATATAAACATGGAGTGGATTCCTTTGAATATACAGCGCCAATATTTACCATATTGAATGTTTTAAACTATTATTTAAACTATTATTGCTGGTAAAACTCAATCATGGTGATTTTGTTTTTAACGTACATGATTTTAAAAAAATCTTCAATTTCAAAGTAAAATACATTTAAAATGTTTAAACAGAATTCATTACCTATTTTACATATATTTTATTTATATATTTCAAATAAAATATGCTATGTAATAAAAGGGATTGCATAAATATTAATCTCTTTAAAATGACTTTCCTAATTAAACGCATCCATCCATCCATCCATCCATCCATCCATACATGCATACATACATGCATACATAGACTGTCACTCGCACCTAAGGACAATTAAGAGCTACCAATTAGCCTAAAAAACATAGTTTTGGGGTGTGAGAGGAAACTAGAGTAATCGAAGTGAACAGGCAAACTCCACTCAGAAAGGCCCCTGGCCAGGATTTGATCCAGCAACCTTCTCGCTGAGAGCCAACACCTCTACCTGCTACACTGCATTGAGAAAAATTATCTTGAAATTGTTTTACTATTTTTAGGCACAGTTTTTTGACGACTGGTCATTCCAGGTGTACTTCGGATAGATTGAGCCGTTCTAAAAGGCTCTTTTTATTCTTTTTTCAAAATACCCAGTCTTTTTACTGATCTTTTGTCAATTAACATAATCTGCTACAAAATGCTGCTTCAGCTGTTTCTTATTTGTACCACTTAGTTTCACAGCTTTTTGACACCACTGTCCTGTCTTTTTAGGATGTATTACCTCCATAAAATGACATTAATTTTCATACTTTAACTTTTTATATGTTCACTGTGTTCCATGAAGGAGTAAACATTTATGATTCACAAATCATTGAACTCTGATTTTAGTTACATTTTACACAACGCACCAACTTTTTCAGAATTGAAGTTGTACTATTATATTGACCAGGTGCGCTGCATCTCAGCGGATGTGTGCTGCCTAGAAGGTGGTCCTGAGCATGGTATGTGTGTGTGAAAAATGACAGACAGCTGTGCAGAAGCACCGTCACTGCAGGGACAACTGAGCCGACTTGTATGTGCTCACATTACATGTGCATGTTTCCGCTGTGTAAAAGCAGACAGGGGCTTTCCACATCCATCAAGCACTGAAACACTTGTACAGTAACCGTATGAATCACAAGTGAGCGTGTGCGTGCTCAAGTACACAAACACAGACCCACACCCACTCTCAGTGAGACTTGAATCCACATACTAGACGTCAGACCCACTCAAAACCATTTTTAGTCTCTCACTTAGAGAAGGAAAGGGCAGAGAAAAGTCCCTGCATCTGTTTCTCTTTTTCTATAAAGCCTGACATTACAAAGTAGTAGGTTGTAGGCTGAAAGAAAAGGTCAGAAAGATGTTTGTAAAAGTTGCTGCAGTTCTTCTTGACTTTTTTTTTTTACTTTGTTTTTATTTTGTCATTTTAAGCACTTTTAGTTATTTAAGGAAGAACACTGAGGCAGCAATGCAGACTGTAGTATATCTTTGCTTAATTAAAAAAAAAATATATATTTTTGTTTGTTTGTTTTGTTTATATTACATTAGATCTCTCTTGCAAATGAGTCCATGAGGCTCAATGAGATTAACCTATATAAATAAAGGTTGAATGAATTTTGATACATTAGAAAAAAACCCAGAAGAAAATTTAAAAATAATGTTGTTTTCCTTTTTTTTCTGCAGCCCAGCCTGTTCTGTACTGGTGCTCCAGAAACATGTCAGTGTGGAGCAATGTCTCCTTTAAACTGGCTTTGCTTATGAACCTGCTGGTCTGCTTCTTCTACCCCCTGGAGGGGGTGTATGGAGGTCAGTCATATTATTGGAGACATCACTGCATGAACATTTAAAACACGTCTGATTAGACCTAATGTCAGTGTGAAGTGTTTAGTTGCAAATAAAATTATCTATTAGGAGTATGTTACTGAGCATTGTGGGCTGTGGGTTTTCAGGAGGGTGAATTTGTAATGTTTTAATAAATTCACGTATTTACCGCCCACCACCAAAGGTGAAAGGGTGATTATATTTTGTAATCAAAATTATTTCGTAACCAGATTCAGGTGAAACAATAAACTCATCAAAACAGGAAGGATAGGAGCTTGATGACGACGTGCATGTTTGGGTTACCTTTTTTTTTTTCTCTACAGTTTTTTTAAGACATTTCCGTTTTCTAAGAGTTGCTAACATGCCATGGATGGATTAACATAAATGTTAAAGATATTGGCTTATTTGACAAAACAACAGCATCAATTAGATTCAAGACATTGAAACAAATGTTTTTAACTTTTGCATGAGCCGCTGTTAAAAGAAGCTTTTGAGCCGCCTCACACAGATACAGACCTTAAAGAGATGACTCTCAATCCTTTTACTGGGAGTCTGCATTGACCTACTGATCTCCTTTTACCACGGTTTCACAATGTTCTGATCCACTGATTTCTAATCACCTGATCAGGACCAGGATTAGGAGCAGGACTTGAGAAGACCACTATCTTGGCTTAAGGCGTGTCCATCGCTTTCATTGCTTCGGCTCATATTTGCCCTCGGGCTCCTTGGAGATCACAATAAACACAGCAGTGCACAGCTTTAGCTGCAAACAACCCACACTGGCTTATGTTATAGATATGAGTCACATATTAGACGATCCAAAAAGTTGCACATTATGTTTTTCTTTTTAAATGAGGTGGTATTATCCTATATTCAATTAAAGTCATAAATCACTGTGACAGAAATAGCTTAAGTTTATAACAATACAATGTAATTCAATACTGCACAAATGCAAACTCATATAAATAAATATTTGCAAAGACTACAGTAATAAAAAAAATATTTTGAGTAAAATGCTGATTCAGTATATTTAAAGCTTCAACACATTTTTAGATTTACATAGTCTACCTATAATCTAATTTAAATGTTTGTATATTTCACAAATGATTTAAAACGGTACTCGTGTTCATTACTTTAAATATGCCAAACCATTTCAAATGTTCCTTTGTGATTGTTTTATATTCACAAAATTCATATAAAAAGTACACTGTATCAATAATATCTACCAGTAATTTTATAATATCATGTGTACAATATGATAGGATATACTATAATACAATAACAAATACTAGAAAATTGGTCATATATAACACAAAGTTTGTTTTCTCAGTCATCCAGGTATATAACAACAAAAAAGGTTGAATCAAGTCATCTGGACTTCGTTTTTTTTGTTAAAAAAGAAACGTTTCGCCCCTCATCCAAGAGGCTTCGTCGGTCTGAGGCCTAGCCATCTGGTATTACCCAGAAGCCACCCTGACTCTTGTGTTTCAAGCCTGCCTCAGATACCCCTGAAGTCTGGCCTTTTCACTAATGGTTTCAAAAACACAAAGTTTGTTTTCTCAGTCATCCAGGTATATAACAACAAAAAA